TGTGCTATGGTTTCTTGTAATGTAGTTGCATAAGGCAGTTTCCAACTGGAGGCCATAAGCTGACGGGCTGTAAATAGGAAGTGGAGGAACAACGAAAGAACTATCTTTTTTTACTTCCAGACCACTTAACATTACCAGCATTACCACAGATCCAAGAATCCGTGGAGAAACATATCTTCCATTCATCACTTTTCCTGCCATCCTGGCAGGTTTTACCAGCACTCTGTTACAGGGGGGTATTGATAAAAGATAGCTAGGAAAGAGTATAACATTATTAGAGATATCCATTCAGTGCAGGTTAAGGACACTGGAACTCTAGCAGCATCAGCAGTATTTTCTGTACTTGCAGAATATGTACTTTAATGTAAAAGATGTGGTTTAGTGCAATCGTTAACAGGCCAAAGTGTTGTAGGAACATTAGAGAGTGAGCTATTACTGATAGGGAGGCTGCTATATACAGTACTTTGTCCAGTGCTATATAATATAATGATTTCAAAGATATGTAGGATATACATATTTGTGGTCTTACACAGGAGACAAAGTCTGCCTTAATAAATAGGGTTGGTATTAAATACATTTTACTCCTTCAGGGTATTACATTGCTGAGGAATAATGCTTTTACCTGGTAAATAATTCAATGATTGCTAAACAGATTTCTTCATTCTGAGCTGGGACAAAGTTCACCACTCTAATGACACTTTACTGCTGTCTGAGAACCCAGAGGAGAGAAAACTTCCAAGCCTGGCATTGCTTTGATAGTCGGAACTAAGCTTCTGCTGTCCTCTAATTAAGTTACGTATTCATATATTCCATTGGATTAAAGTAAGTGATACATTAATGACCTGCGCTCTAGGATATTCTTTTAAAATGCATAGGGAGCTTTTTAGAGGGTGTCACACTGGTAGCTCAAATCGACCGTTCTTAAGGTGGTCAAAATTTTTCGAACGATTAGGTTGACATTTTTTTCTCTGACCGAACGAAAATCGATCAATCAGTGGGGTCTATGGTCATCAAAAATCTCAGCAAGAACATAGCACATGCGCAAAAGGAAATTATTTCTGTCGTTTGTCAAAAATTGGTTGGTTAGTAAGGCTAACGAACGATTTTACAAAATCGACATTTGACTAAGCTTAAAGGAGAACTATGAGGTGAGCGCTTTTCACTCATCCTCATAGTTCTAGCCGACCTGTGGCAATGAGACTGTCACAGGTCGGCTCAGTAGATCGGGAAGTGAGCGAACATATACCGGCGTTCGCTCACTTCTCGATCTTGAACCGTGACAGGGGAGGGACTGGATTCCCCACTCCCGCTCCGATCCTCCAGCGCTGACTGGCGGAACGGACGGGGGAGGGGGCGGATACAGCTGGCTCTGCCTATCTAGAGGCAGAGCCAGCTGTATCTGCCCCCTCCCCCGTAGCACTCACGCAGCTGAGCGGATCCAGACATAATTGTCGGGATCCGTTTTAGCTGGGGCGTCTCAGTATACAGCTCGCGGTATACTGAGCTTAGGGTGACGGGAGGACACTAGTTTGTGTCCTCCCGTTACCCTTAGGAGAACTATGGGGAAAAGCCCTAACCCCATAGTTCTCCTTTAATGGGGAAGTCTAGGTATAATGAAAATTTAAAAAAAAATCGGACAGTGTATGGCCACCTTTACACAGACCCCTTCTGCTTCACACACTTTGCTACTGACAACTAACTGTGAAGGACAGTCTGAATGGCCAATAGGGAGACACAGAGATCAAGAGGGGGAAGGCCAGCGCATAACTGTGAAAGCTCCAGTCACAATTTGTATGTAACAAAGAAGAATGTGAATCTTATGTACCAGGATAATGGGTTTAGGCTTCACATGTGCCCCACAACCCTTGCTTGGTGCCCCAGGTCCGATGCCACAACTGCCACAATTTTTTATTATTTAGCCACTTGGTTCAAAGAATCAGTAGCTCGCCTCTGACCTCACCCACCAGCTGCCTGTCAGACCACAGATACAGCAGTAGTGCAGAATTGAGAGAACTCAAAGATCCTCCACTTCTCTGATGTGTCACATGCCATAGCCAAAGGGATCATGGGTGGATTTTCTTCACTGTGCAAGGCACTGCTGAAGCTGATGTCTGTGCTGGGAATAAGACATTTATTTTCTCACAGTACATGTTTTTTGTTGTTAACATGCTACTTTTTTTTTTTGCATTTGGGGAAGGGGGGGGGGGGGTACATTTGACCTGAACTCTGTGCGTTACATGCTCCTGATCCCTGCACTTTGTGCTTTACATAAAACCGACCTCTGCTTTCTGTGCTTGATGTAGTTCTGACATCTGCATGATGTACATTATGTACTCCTGACCCTTGCGATATGTGCTTCTAACTCCTGCTCTCTGTGTGTTACACTCTCCTAACCCCTGATCTCTGTGCTTTATGTACCTTAGACCCTTGCACTATGTGCTTCATGTACTTCTGACCCCTGTACTCTGTGCATTACACACTCATGGTGCCTGCACTCTGGGTGTTACACACTACTGACCCCTGCAATCTGTTCTTCATTTACTTCTGACCCCTGCACTCTGAGATTTATGTACTTCTGACCTCTGTGCTGTGTGCATTACACATGCCTGAACTCTGCACTCTGTCCATTATACATTCCTGACCCCTGCACTATACACACTATGTACATCACATACTCCTGACTGAAATGTTTTTTGTCTCAACAGTTGCTGGCTGCTAAATAGTCCCCAACAATTTGAATAGAGTACTTATTTAAGGTAGGCTTATACAAAGCGCTAGATCTCTATTTTTCGTGTCCAGAAAATTGTATGTTATGCAAGAGTTTACATTTGTAAAAATTACTCTTTGTGTTGAGGTTTAAGTATGGTTGTGAAACGCTTACTTGTGGCACAATAATTAAAGCATCATTTTGTAGATACAAGGACTGTGGTATACTGTATGTTTGCCATGTATAAAATGAATAGGCTTATGTTTTATTTAACCATGACGCTTTAAGCCCCTCCCTCTGTTGACACAATTTGGCCACACAAAGGCACATCATTGTTCTTCTCAGGGTGTCCCATGTCTCACACTGCCCTAACAGCACCCCTGATAATGGGAATGTTATATTTTTTTAATGATTTATTACAGGTATTTATATTGCGCCAACACATTCACATCAGTCCCTGCTGTCAAGGAGTTTACAATCTAAGGTCCCTATCTAACAAGCATACATACAGGGCTGTTTTTAGACAGGAGACGATTAACCTACCATCATGTCTTTGGCGTGTGGGAGAAAACCGGAGTACCCGGATAGTGACCTTGCCGGTATTCTAACCAGGGACCACCAGTGCTGCAAGGCAGAAGCGTTAACTGCTAGGCCACTGTGCTGCCCATTTAACATTTTAAAATCTATATTGATCTTTTGGATTTTTTGTTGCACAGCCAGTGCTTCAATATCAACCTGTGGGCAAGTCTTGGGAAGAAAATCACAGTATTTGTGCAAACTCACAACTAATAAAATAATTCTTAATCAAACTGTCAACAGCTCCAAGAAGACCTTTCTGGGCATTTCTGCAGTACACCAACCCACTTGTCAGCAGCATTACACTCAACTAGCTTTAGCATAATGGCCTAGCGTTTTGGCATTGCTTCGTGCAAGTGCTCAGAACAGGTGGAGAAAGTGGTCACAGGATTTCAGCTTTGCTTGTCTGTTTTATTCTGCACTTCCAAGTGACTCCAACATACAGATGGATAGTTACAGCAGGCTAGAGTGGTGGGGGTACCCACCTACCTTCCTTTATTTGCATCCTGAGCAAACAAATGTGCAATACATAAACTGCAAATTAAACTGTAACATAAAAATCTTTTTGGCATGCAGGCCTAAATAGTTTCAGGCACTTGAATGTTTCTGTTCTACACTCCCACAGACAGTTTACCATATTTATAAATCCAACAGGAACAAATTAATGCTAAATCAAATCATACAATGTTCACAAGTCACAAGCATTCTAGAGGGCTACTATATCATTATCATGGCATTAAGCACCATCTAGTGGCCAAATATGAAACTACAGTTGAATTCCAACAGCCAGAATAAATAGCCAGTTTATGAAATAATTCATCATCAATGTTATTCTAATTCACTGAATAAGTGTCATCACATTACTCCGAGTCCTACAATACAGAAAGAGTATGATTAAGATCAGGAGTGCTGAGATCTCTACCTATGTGAAGGCACAGTTAAATGAAAATTTGCAAAAAATACCCAGGACCCTACAATATAGAAATAATCTAATTAGGAGCCTTGAGTCTGAATTAAGAAATACTGATGTCACCTTAAGGTCAGTTTAAGAAAAATAGAAACATTAATGTAGCTTTGATTATCTGAAACTCTGTGCAGAATAATTAAATATAAAATTGATATGTAGAGCCTTCCTTCGGTTTAGGTTGTAAATGCACAAATGAAGCAAAGAAGGAAGTGATTTGAGCTGGAGAGTAAAATGCATAGGGGGGAATTTATCAAAGCTGGAGCAGACAGAATCTGGAACAGTTGCCCATGGCACCCAATCAGCATCTCTCTTCAGTTTGCTCAGGTAAGATTTGAAAATGAGACAGAGAAGCTGATTGTTTCCAGGCCAAATCTGCTCCAGATTTTGATAAATTCGCCCCATGGTGTAAATTGGTAATTTAGAATGTTATCAACAAATTGTTTTAAAAGTGCATATTTACTATATAGTTGAATGATGGTTTTCTCCTGCTGTCAAGTACTGACAGCAGCATCCAGTGAGGCGCCTACCAAAAACTGGTGACATTTAATTTCCTGTGCCCAATGAATAAGATTAGTTGTCAGATTTAGTGTCAGCTAATTCTACATACATTCCATAATAAATTAAAGTGATACTAAATTCAGGACATAAATCCTAAAAATGGATGTAAGTACCTCAACTATTAACAAAATGTATCTTATCTGTGTATCACTCGGCTGTAGATCCTCAAATCATCTCTGAATTCATGCTGACACTGTCCTGCCTTCTGGAGGGTGGCTACTATTGTTCGACATGGTCCCTGTGTGTGTTGTAAAGTAGCCACCGCTCCAAGCTCACTCCCATGATGGACTGCAACATCACATTTTTTACTTTACTAATTTGTATTGAAGTTATATTCTATCACAGTAACAAGCTTGGAGCGGTGGCTACTTTACAACACACACAGGGACCATGTGGAACAAAAGTAGCCGTCCTGTCACCCGCTTGAAGTGGTTATACCAAGAACACTGCTTCTGCCGTTTTAAACACCAGGCGATTACTGTTTCCATACAAGTGATCCAGCTTCTTTACAGGGCCCGGATTGCTTGTACGGTGCGGCGCTGTACCCCCCTCCCGCGCGCCGTTGCCGGCTTCTCACCGGCTCCGCTGTCCCCAGTGCGGGCCAGGGACCGGCACGGCAGGTCTCCCCTGATGGATCAGAGAGAGATCAGCAGGCTGGTAGCCGCTGATCTCTCCTCCGTTCACTGGACCCGGAAGTCACTGCGCACATTCTCCAGCTCTTAGAGCCAGGAGAAGAGGCTGATAAAGCAGATCTCTGCTTCATCAGCTTCTTTGTGGTTCCCTAGATGACATCAGAAGTCTGAAAGACCTCTGATGTCTCCATAAAGAGGACCTTGTTAGCCCCCTATGTGATAGCAATTAAGTTGAGTGCAAAACAAAATGGAAAAATTAAAGCAACATATTAAAAAAAAATCCAAATTTTTTTCTAAAGTCCCCCGCCCCCCACGTGCACGCACATACATACGCAAACATGCGTCAGATTTGCCTACGCGCAAAAAAGAAAATTGCTACACATGTTACATCTTGCCACAAACGTCTGAATGAGGGAAATACTGTAATTCTAGGATCATCAATCACTGTTATCACTAAAATGAGGAGCAGTAAAAGCGTTTAAAGCGTCACCTATAGGACATTTTGGGTATTCTAGTTTTTTAGTTTCACGGACGCACACAATTTTAAGGCTTGACATGTTTGGTATCTATTTACCCGGTGTGACCCCATCTTTTATATTTTACCAAAAGATTGGGTATCATTTTCTGTTTTTGTGCACTTCATTTCATTTTAGTGTATTTTATCCTAAAACATTTGGTTTGATAAACATTTGCGCAAATACCGTGCAACATAAACAATTACAACTAGCATCTTTTTATTCTACAGGGCCTATGCTTTCAGAAAATATATAATTGTTTGGAGGTCTGAAGCTGTTTTCTAGCCAAAAATGCATATTTTATCATGTGTGTGCAAATAGTAAGAAATTGCTCCGGTCAGCAAGTGGTTAAGATTAAACCCCTGATTTTAGTCTCACTTTAAAGTGGACCTAGCATAGCTATAACTATAACAAAAATATCTTAGCTGGACCTGCCCCAGCAAATTTGATAGAGTAAATATTGAAATATGGTGTCCATAGTTAGATACATCTAGGCTACCAACTATGCAAAATATGTTGCCAATATTCCTTCTGGGGCTGCAACCAACTAAACGATTAATCGATAATGAGAATAGTTGTCAACCATTCTCATTATCAATTAGTTGGTTGGATCCCCTAGCTCTCTCCTTCATGCTGGGAGGAGGGAACAGCAAGCAGTGGGCGGGTGCAATAGCCAGACTGCTATTGGATATTGCAATTTAAAATGGCCAATAGCAGGCTGGCTAGTGCACCAGCCCCATACATGCTGTATTTACATTCAGCTGCCGCCTGCAGAATCTTGCTACTGGCAGCTGTCATTCTCTGGCGGAAGCTATACAAGCGTTATGTGCTTACAACACAATTATAAAAAAAAAATATATATATAAAAAGGTGGGGAAAAAGCAATTTTCGGTTTCAGCCTAACAAATTCTGCTGCGGGAGGTGCGTTACAGTGCCATTCATTTCAATGAAACCACATACGCGCCTCCCACCCACAGTGTGATCGCCCACACTGGAACGCACAGTACCGCAATGCTGTGCTTTCCAGTGCAGTGCGATTACAAAAATTGTGTATGCAGTTTCATTCTGAAGTAAACTTTATGTTTGTAACACTGCATTTGTGTATTTTGTTTTAAGGATGCTATTTAATTTTTTTACCCGATTAATCGAAAAATTAATCGGCCAACTAATCGGTTATGAAAATAATAATTAGTTGCAGCCCTAATCCCTTCTTCATGGTAACCATGAAGACAATTAAGATGGGGGAGATGAAGGATTAATGCGTATGTAAGTCTGATAGTTTGGAAGTTCAGTGGTATTGTTTTTTTTGTTTCAATCATATCTTTACAAATGTGCTTTCAAAATTATAAATACAATTCCACCCCAAAAAATCATACACAGAGGCTGATTTGAGAATATTTACTGAAAAAAATGTGTTGACATTCACTTCCATCATCCAATTATGTAAAATGTCAATGTTCACTCTGATGAGCCAATCATCTACAGATGCTTTTCGAATGATTGGATAATGATTGGATAATCAAAGTAAATATTTACACAATTTGTTCAGTAAAGACTTTCAGCTTCTTTAGTCAATCTTCTGGAGGCCTCACATATATTTTTACATGTTAAGTGCATGCACGTTAATTACTTTGTAAGGGTATAGGCAGGGGCGTAACTGGCCCCGTGATTGCTAGTTATGCCACTTGCAGAGCCCACCTAATATACCAAACAGCCCACCTGAGAGTGACCTTGCAGAGCCTACCTGTCAGGGGGGTACGGCGGGGCCGCAAGTGGAACCCCTTGGCAGGGGCAACAAGCCAAAAGTCAGAGGTCGAGGTACACAGGGGAAATCCAAGAAGAATAGTCAGGTCCAATCCAGGTCGAGGCAGGCAGCTAGTTTCGGTAACGGAAGGGTAAGCCAAAGGGTCGGTAATCGGGAGTCCAAGCAAAGGTTCAGGAAGAGAGACGGGTTGAAGGCACAGGGTGCTGGGTGATCACACCATAGGGATAGAATAACTCAGCAATGAGCCAGGGCTCTGACTGGGCTTTTATACTCAGTGGGGAACTGAGGCCACTCCCCGTTTACCGAGGCAACCAGGTAGCTTCTCCATTAGGAGCCAATGGACGAGAGAGAGGCAGAGGGTGTGTGCTGGCAACCTCCCCCAGCAAGGATCACACCAGCAACGGGCGCAGGCGCACTATGCGCGCGTCCCCGTGCCTGCACGCGCAGCCTGTCCACCACGCACATGTCACGCATTGCGTGAATGCGTACCCGCAATCCCGGCGCCAGGGGTCCTGCCAGGAAGCGGAACCTGTGCCCCCCACCGCACATAGCAACCCCCCGAGGAGAGGTAAGCCCCCTGGTACCCTGACACCACCATAGACTCTCTATAGTGGGCTCTGCAGGGTCTCAGATGGGCTGCACACCTCTTACTGTTCACTTCAATTATCCAATCATGTAAAAAAACACACGTGATTGCACATGACTGTGTATTAAAAGTAAACAGAAAGAGTCTCAAGTTTTTTTTGGTAAATCAGCCTTATAGTCACCTTTATCAATGGTGGCCAGTGGCCTACACTTACCCATGATAATAGTCCTCCTAAACATAGATTGTTTTGTCTGTGAAAGTTCTTATTTATCCAGGCCATGGAATATCTGTAATAAATAAGTGAAGGCAACTGTACTTGCTGTATTTCTTAAAGAATGTCTTCAAGAAAAATACAGCAAGTCCAGTTGCCTTGACTTTTACAGATACAGAATGTTTTGTTATTAGGGGTGCTAAAGAGGACACTGGCAAACAATGGTTGCCACTCTTAGTAAAACTTATGACAATTAAATCATGGAGCCACGAATTATTGTATACAGGTTGGAACTAAGTTTGCTTGTGGCTCAAGGCACATACATATTGCTTTTCAAAGCTGGACTCCTACGGATTGGAGGGATAGCAGAAGTGGGAAACTGTTGAATAGAGCAACGGGTGTGCTTTGTTTTTTTTAAAAAGCTTTTGCAGACCCCAGTTAGGCTTACACATGGGCTGCTATGGTCATAGTTAAGCCCTTGCTAACCTTTCCTTTTTATCAGATGTAATTCGAAAGTAATTGCAAAGCAGCTACGCCAGGTTCTCTACAATTGTACAGAGTATGCAATACATTTCTTGTACCTTAATCGGTTTTATTAAAAGGAGTGGTACAGTCAATAGTCAGGGAAAAAACTATTACAAAGTGTTGAATCAAAGCAGTTATAAAAAAAACCTAAAGAACAGTCAATGTTCTATTGTGCTTAATGTAGGCTTGTATGTATGTTGTCAGTGCAAAATCCTTAGTATAATTAAATGTGTACAGATGATTGGAGTATAGTACTTGTCGAAATTAAAGGACAAGAACTGGAAAAACACTAAATGAGTATCCTTAAAGGAGAACTATGGGGTCAGTGTTTTTCCCCATAGTTCTCCTTAGGGTAACGGGAGGACACAAACTAGCGTCCTCCCGTTACCCTAAGCTCAGTATACCGCGAGCTACAGCTCGCGGTATACTGAGACGCCTGAGCGGATCCCGACATAGATGACGGGATCCGCCCAGCTGCGTGAGTGACAGCTGGCTCTGCCTATCTAGAGGCAGAGCCAGCTGTACCCGCCCCCTCCCGCGTCCGTTCCGCCAGTCAGCGCTGGCAAATCGGAGCGGGGAGAGGGGAATCCAGCCCCTCCCTTGTCACGGCAGAGAGCCGGGACAGGATCGAGAGGCGAGCAAACCCGGTATGTGTTCGCTCACCTCCCGATCTACTGAGCCGACCTGTGACAGTCTCATTGTCACAGGTCGGCTAGAACTATGAGGTGAGTGAAAAGCACTCACCTCATAGTTCTCCTTTAACCTTGCTAACAGGTACCAAAATAATGTATAATAAGGAGATTAGGTAAAGAAAAAAAAAAAGGCTTGTAAAAAAAACAACTATGTACAAGGTTTGATCCTTCCTGGCTGTAGCACAGCTCTGCGCTGTCAGCATATAGTGGGCAGTAGCCAGCTATATGCTGATTTTGTGTCACAAAAGTACATTGGTAAATGTACTCCTGTGACCCAATAGAGAAGTAAAGTAAAAATAAAAAGTCACCGACTCCAACCAGATACACACATCAGATGTTCTGGCTTCAGGTCAACTCACTGCATGCTAGTTGTGATTAAGTATAGAAGATAAAGACAGCAATGGCAGCCTCCGTGTTCCTTTCATAACAGGTTCACTTTAAAGACAGAAAGCTTTTGCTCTCCTAAGAAATCAGTAATAACTGTTTAATCCTTCAGTTTATAAAACAGTACGTTCTAGTCAGCCCAAAAAGTATACTTCGGTTATTAGCTGCTGGTTGGTTGAATCACTTACAAACCCCTTTTATCAGAAATCTATTCACCTACATTTTCAAGAGCATGCATTTACCAACTGTATGTGTTTATTTTCCTTATTTACACACATGTAGTTTTCACTTACTTTACTACAGGGAATGCACCTGGAATAGTGAGGAGCTAGACCCAGAGAAGATTTTGCTGTTGGAGTCTATAGGCAGCCAATAGGTAGTTCACCCTAGTGGTGTTTATACAATCTCAGATTGTGGTGGCCCAACCTTTTCACCTAGATTCTGACTGATAAAATCAAATAAGCCTCCTTTCTGACAACGATGCTGTCCAGGTATATCATTGGTGATAGGTCTGCTCCAAATGGATGGATTTATAATTTCTCTGCTAGGCTCAGAATAAATGGAGTTAAATTCCATGGCATTACAATGACTAATGAGATAAGACATGAATGTCTTGCCGCTCCTTTGTTATTTAAATTATAATCATTGTTAACAATGTTCAGCTTAACAGTGAAATAAAAGCTATTTAAGTTGGTAAGTAGAACTGCTGGCATATGCAGATTACCTACTACTGACTTTATCTAATCCCCTGGAATCTCTTTAGCTGCAAAGACCATTATTGGTGAATCTAGACACTTGAATTGCATTGTAAAATAACCTGGAAATTTGATTAAGTTTTAGTAGAAAAATAATTTATTCGGAGCATAGCATTTTTTTCAGAATATTCCAGAAACTGAAGGATATTTTAAAAATACTATAATTTGTTTATTTTCCTTGTTAAATAAGTTGCAAAACATGCAAGTTCTCGTTTAACTTACCCTTTAATTTCTTTGACTAATCATGCAGAATTTGTGCTGGGAACAATTGGTTCCATATAGCTGGTTACATAATGATGAATCAAGAGTTATATATGCTGTTATTTGGTTAGTAAGGTGTGATTTTGGTAAATTGTGAGAATGTTGTTGGGATTATCTTTTGATTCATGGATGGCTGTACAAATGAATTGCTATTTATTGTAAAGACAGCAGCTGTGCTTTCACCGTCTCTTAGGGGGTAGATGACCTCAGGCTTTTTTTTGTACAGGTAACAAAAGTTCACACTACAGTTCTGGGTTTAGACTGGCCACAACCAGCTTTATTGTGTGTCCAGAGTCAGATAGAACATAAACAGAACTTCCAGCATAAATTCACAGCAAAGAAACAGAAAACAGAAAATAAAAATCCAAGCCATTCTGGCAATAAAAATTATTTTAAAGGGAAATAGACCTTGGGGGGAATTTTATCAAAACTGGAGCAGTTGCTCATGGCACCTATCAGCAAATGATAGATTGAAGCTGATTGGTTGCAAATCTGCTCCAGATTTTGGTTGCAAATCTGCTCCAGATTTTGGTTTAACAGCCAGCAGGGCCGACTAGCAAGATTCTGAAGCTTGGCACAGTGGGAGATTCCTCCATCCACACAGTTTAGCGTAGATGGAGGAATCTGTGGCATTTTTTCCATCTGACCATAGAAAATCTGCAGATAATCTATAGGTGTATGGCCAGCTTAAGGTTTAAAAAACTTTGAGAGATTCCTGTGATGACAGCTGCCTCCGATATCACAGCAGTGACATAATTGCCTTTAATTCAGGCTCATGCACACAGGCCTGCGATACTACAGCAGTGACATAATTGCCTTTGATTCAGGCTCATGCACACAGGCATATAAAATCACTGCATTCAAACCTGTTCTGCATACAATTTTATATGGATCTGAATTTAGTAGTCTTGTCGGCCACAGGGCCAATGGACATAGCTGTTTTGGAGTCCGTTTTCCCCCATATCGTTGAACTGCGTAAACCAAAACAAGAAAAATCTAAATTTTATAAATATTCTATGTAGTACACATGGAAACGTTTGTGTAAACACTTACATGCGTACTGCCTAAGAGGACATTGCCCTCAAGTCATACATTCAGTATAACTGAAGGCTAAGGTAATCATGCACAAGTGTTGCCACCTAAACTTTGTTTATGTGTACATCTCTCCACACTCCCAATAAGTCCTTCACTAGGCAGCGGCAGCAGAGCAGGTACAGAATGTCCTTGGCCTTGTCATTCATCACCCATAGCTTAAATTTGGCCGATTGAATAGGAATCGTCCAAAATTTAAGCTGTGTATAACAAGCTTTAGGCAACACTGTGCAAAATAAATAGCATCAGCACTAAAACTAAAGATGAGGACTCCCCAATTCCATTAAAGTGTATGTATACCCCAACAATTAATGGTTCTAAATTGCTTTTGGTATATTAAATATACAATTGAAAGCAATTGTGTTATATGTGTTTGAAAAGTGCAAAAAATAATTATTGATTCTGCCAGAAATCTTGTGAGCTGATAATTTGCTGTTTGCCTCTACTGCATGGTTATCAGTTAGCACTCTTCCCAGTTCTCCTTATGTTAAGGAGAAGAGGATAGGGATGTGTTCTTCTGTCCTAAAACAGTCCTATGGTGACAATACAGCTCCTACAGAGATACAGTACAGTGAGTGAGCAACCCTAGGACTGGAATTGTGTTACTGGTCAGATCACCAGGTAGAAAAAGAAAAAAAAAGCCAGAAATAAAAGGAAAGTGAATGCAGCCACTACATTTAAGGATCAGTAAGCTGAAATGTATTGCTTTTTTGTTCTTTGGTTCAGATACGCTTTAAGATATGGGAACAGGCTTTATACATACAACATAAAGAAAAAGTCATAGACTAAGATGACCCCCCTTTATGCCATCAGCAAAGCCTTACAAATTCAGTCTTAATGGTAGATTTACCCACAGCAGATGGGGAGCTGTCTGGGCCAAAAGCAGGTAATATGATGGCATTGTAGGAACTAGTTTAGACCTTATATACACATTTGGTGGGCTTGCTTAAAAAAATCATTTTAGGATGTCTCTAAAATTATGTATTCCTTTTTGTATATTTAGATGGCAAAAAGAAAGAGTGTGTTGAATATTTGGCATCTGCTGAGTACAATAACAAAACAAAAAACAAGCAAACCCCTGGGTAAGCGAGTGGAAGGGCACTAAAGCTGACCATACATATTGTTTTTTTTTAAAATTCAACCATATGCTTGAACCCCCCCATCCATGCTATTTAATTCCCCCATCAGGCTGATTGGCTGCAGTCTCCGTTCGGCCAAGACATTTTGGACTGGCTCCCTTGACAAAAGTCAATTGAATGAAGAGGTGCTGACAGGGCCACACACAACTCCAATGTTGTCCGAGTCAGCAGCCTAAATTCGAACAGTGTATGGCCAGCCTAAAGCTGGAACTGATTAAAAGATAACAGACAGCACAAGCATTATATATGAAATACTTTATTATAAACAATGATAATGCATTGTACAAAACATGTTCACTGGCATTGTAAAGTATACAAAGAAACAATTTATATTTTATAAATCACATTTTAAAAATAACCTTCCATTTTATACCTGCATAGAAATATGACAAAGAACACAACATAGTCACAGAAGCAAGGTTCAAATACAATCATGGTAAATGTCACCCCATCTGCCGATAAGAACATATGCAATAAATAAAACATACTAGCTAGAGTAAAAAGCAAGCTAACCAACTGAACATGTTAATGAAACAGAATCCTATCAGGGATAATTCTTTGTGTAAGTAACCAAAATAGGGAGGTTGAGTGACATTTTCAAAACACTGTGGTAAGGGTAATAAGATCCAAGAGCAGATCTGTCATTCAGTATGTGTCTATTTAAAATAATGTACAGCCTTGCAAATCTCGGTTTTCAAGCATGCTTAATTACATTTCAAACAAGCTTGTATTAAAACCCTGAATTGCTATATACATACAACGTGTTCTCATAAACCATATTTTAACACTAATGTAATTTTCTTTGCTGATGGAAGAACTTTTTTTCTCTTCTCCACACAGTGTAGAAAACAAGATAAAGACTAAATTAATGAACTAGAAGTCTGTTGGTAGCTAACTACCTTTAAAGTTGAATCTGGAAACCGTTAAAGCCAATCTCCAGGCACAAAACGTACTGCAGTTCAATAAGCTGTAGAAATCCATGCTGTACAGTCATCTGGCATACATAGATCTTCATTCTACCCAGATATCTTGAAAGTGACACTACACTCAGAAGTTAAATCTTAAAAATGCATTCCAGTACCTTCATTATTAACAGAAATGTATCCTACTTGTGTATCGCTCAGCTGTAGATCCTCAAATCATCTCTGAATTGGTGCTGACACTGACCTTCCTTCCGGAGGTTGACTACTTTTGTTCCCCATGGTCCCTGTATGTGCTGTAAAGCAGTCACTGCTTTAAGCTCACTGCAGTGATGGACTACAATCTCAATACAAATTAGTAAACTGAACATAAAAATTGTAGTCCATCACAGCAGCAAGCTTGGAGTGTTGACTACTTTATAACACACACAGGGACAATGGGGAACAAAAGTAGCCACCCTCCAGAAGAAAGGACAGTGTCAGCACACATTCAGAGGTGATTAGAAGATCTACAGCCGAGTGATACACAAATAAACTACATTATTGTTCAAAGTTAAGGTATTTTTAAGATTTAACTTTTGAGTTTAGTGTCACTTTAATATACCTGAATACTTGACATAGCCCTGTAGTGCAAAAGTAGCATAGCTTAGTCCAAAACATACTCAGCCTACTGATTAGGCATTGAAGAAGCAGCAGCACACTGACTGAGTCATATCTCTTATCTGTACAATTCAGCATGCTAGAAGCCTGTTTAAAGTGATAGTAAGCACTCCCATTAGGATCCGGGTTTAACATTTCAAACTGAAGCTAAAGGGTGCTTTGAAGACTTCAACAAAGCTTGCCGAAAGCAAATACTCTGTGAAAGCTTACTGGTCACACTGCTCTTATACAAGCCGAGGCCTGTGTGAACTAGGCCTTAGTGCGATTTTTGGTTGGATGTTCACTGGGGAAGATGCCACATTATAGGCACTAGATGGAGCTGAGGATCATACTAACATGTATTTATTTCCTACTACTAGCTCCATCTAGTGTCCATATTGTGGGATTTCCCCCATTGAGGAATATTCGACCAGAGAAATTACACAAAGAACATTTGATGTTGCCCCATTCTCACAATAGCTGGCTAACCTGCACAGAACAATTGTACATGCAGTTTCACTGGATGAACAAGCCATGCAATTTATTTTATATATAGGCCCCAAAGTATTCTAGGGTATGGTTGGATTTTCTGCACAGGTCTATATCTACCTAGTTCAGAAGAAGTTAGGGTATGACAACGCAGCCTAAACTCAGCTGCAAGCAAATGAAAAAACAAACAATTACTGCAGTTATGCATTTAAAAAAATACTCAAATGTATGTATAAATGCAACTGCCATAACTACCCGATATTGGTATCAGCCTCTTGCAATCCCCTGTACAATAGAATTTAGACAGAGAGGGAGGGGCAGCTGCAGGGCCCCGTCAGGTGTGCTGCATGCAAATATGTTAACAGGAGGAGAAAGCAAAGGGATGAGCTCACTAGGTTGAGGACAAAGATGTGATCAGGCTGTATTCATCAACTGGAGTAGAGAAAACTCAAACCAGGCTCTGCTGTCTGGCTGGGCTGTGTAAATCTTAGGTGTGGATAAAGAGGAATACAAATCACTTGGCAGATAACAGATCCTATATACAGTGTGTATTTAGCGGACTCTTCCCGAAGTGCATCGTTAAGAGTGGAATAAAACATTTAATTAATGCAGTGTTTTTCCTTACCTTTCACAAATTCTTTTACCTGTGTATTATAGTACAATGTACTCTCATAGTAATTTATACAAAGAAGAAATCATGTATTATTCTCTGGACTTTCTGAAATGCTGAAAAACAAAGCTGCTAAGATGACATTTTGCTGTACAATAACAACGGATTGCTTTGTTTTTCTGCTGATCTACATTTAATCACAAACAGGTAACCATTACAATAGAAGAGCATTACAAATTCAGATATGGAATAGCAGGTATAGACCTAGAGCCACAATAGCCCTATGAAACCTAGAGGTGAAAGGTATCTGATACAGCGACCTCTGACTGCTTCTGGCTTTAATACTCTCTGAATGACTGCCCCAAAACAAGTAAAGTCTGAGTCAAAGTCCGAAATCCTGTATTGTTTACTTGCTTTGGGTTGGTTTTCCAAAAAGTACTAAAGACATATGGGTTGATTTGCTAAGAGCAAATAGGCTGTTCACTTCGCTAGAGAATTTTCCCTTAGCCTAGTGAAAGAGGTGAAGCTCTGCTGACTTCCATCTTCCAATCATGTGTATGTCATTTTTTTTCTGAATATGGTGTTAACCCTTAAACATAGATGAAGGCCTCATTCTCATGGATGTGTCACAGACACAGCTACAAGCTGTTATACGTTAACATGAACTTTCACTTGCATCTGTATGGATGTGCAAGGGTCCAGGTGTAGCAGCTTGCGGTGTCCATGTGAATAAGGCCTAATAGTAAGGCATTTGTAGGGTATTTGGATATATTTATTATAGAAACAGTTTTACAGGTTTAAAGGCACACTATGTAATATTGCATACTCCTTAGTAAAAAAAAAAGAGAATTAGGCACTCCAAATTCGGAACATGGCAACTAATAGAGGCATCAAACTGGATGCAAAAATTGAGTTTCAGAACAGTTACTTTATGACAAATCTTTGTGTTATACATTGCAAACTGTATATGCACAATTTTATTTCAAATATATAACGGAGTGATAATACAACTTATATAGACATAGATATTAATCATTAAAAGATCATTTATGGATGACCGTTTACCAGAGCTATTAAGGCAATATTAGTGCAATCTTTTTTTTCTAGACACCACAGACCCTTGTGTGGCTTTAGTTTTTTCCATATTTGATTATTTAATAGTGGATCAACATCTAAATATTAAAATGCCACAAAACCTTTAGCAAACATACACATCTTCTGTAATACTCTAATACCATCCACAAATATACTGCTATTAGTCGGCAGTGGTAATAGGAATAAATATGAAGCAAAATGGTAAAATAATATAAATATTTACCTAATATATCACATATTTGGGAAGTCCTGTAAGCACAAAAAGTGATATATCAGTGAATCTTCACCACCTCGTTTTTTTTAAGGCTGAGTTCACACAGGTGGTAGCTTCTACCCACCTCTGAAAAGCGACTCACAGTGGTGGTGGAACAGCTACTGCTCGGCACTAAGAAGGCAATACTGCCTCCTCCAGAAGGCATGTTTTTTTAAATCCCAATGGGGACTTTCTATTGCAATACCACATCCCATTAATTGCACCGCCTGTCAATTTGGTGGGCAATGGAATGGGTTACTGCTATGGGGGAAGACACGACTTTCTTTCATGCCCCCGACAATGGAGTGGTCAGTGACTAATAAGCCAATTGCCAGGCTTGACCACCATCAAATTGAGATGGGGGAAAGTCCTTATTTGGGGAGCTTTGGGGGGAAAACAGGGCAGTACAGGATCATGATTCACTGGAAGTTATGTTGTATTTGTGTGTACTGATAATGATTTTGATAAACATTTGCAAAACTATCATGAGATGTAGAAAAATCAGTAGCACCATCTTTTAATTCTACCGGCCCTGTGCTTTCAAACAACATATGGTTTGGGTTTTTTTTTTTACATGAACTTTGAAAGCTGGAAGTGAAAAATAGCAAAAAAAGTCAATAGCAAAAATGGTCCAGCCAACCTATGTTAAAAGGGTGAGGCTGGACCTGTCAGAAAAACTTACGGTTAAGTAAGCTGCCAATTAATAGCCATCTCCATATTGCGGTTGTACAATGCCTCTAATGCTTACTGTTTGGCCTCAGTCTATTTCAGAGATGCTCAGCTCCATTCATTAAAGGCTTACATCTTTGTGGCTAGAAGGGCACTGCAGCATTCATTAGTGTATTCGGACACAAGAGGAGGTGTCCAAACCAGCTGTTTATGGTAAGATCCAGAGATGACTACGTCTTTGGGCAAATGGTAACCCTTGCAGAAACTCCAGGGCTGACCTGGATTTTCTTATATAAGCACTACAATAAATCCTGCACAGGGGTGTGTAAACATACATGCTCAGCTAAATCATACGTGCATGGCTGCGTCACAATCATTTTAAGGAAACAAATGTGTGGTAGGTGGACTGTTGGCAGTTCAAGTATAGGTAGTATTGGATGTTGATGCATTCAACTGATGTGCAGGCATTAGATTTTCTGTAAAAAAATTATTAGTAATATTTGTCATTTTCTTGGCTGTGGCTGAAAATTAAAGCCGTTTGTGTTAAAGACTGCAGTCATGCCAGCCTCATTTGGCACTGCTTAAAGGATGCGCATTAGACAGAGATGTACGCACTGAGACATACCACAGATCCAGCTGTGGCATTAGAGAAGGAGTATAGAGGCACTATAGTACAGACTTCATATAGACTTACAAGGCAACATTCTAAAAAGGTCTAAAGTGGTTTCCCCCTTTTAGATAATATAGTGTATTTCACTCCCAACAATAAGCATTACAGCTTTATCAATCATGTAAAGGTAATCCATACACATAAGATGCCAATCCAATGCCTGTGATTTTGATTGTCATTTAACATAGATTTCATACATTACTCATTGTTAGTGGTAAGGCCATATGAATATTAAACATATTCAAGGATGGATAAAAAAAAAGAAAAAAGTAAATACACACACAAACACACACTGTACAGTGGAGGTTTCCATCACAGGGCTAAATCAGGCACCTAAAGGCCATTTCAAACATAGGAGAAACCCCCTGAAAAGTTCCCTCATTTTGAGGACTGTGGAACCTTCAAATAAAATTCAGAAAATATGAATACGAGATAATTCAGTGGTAATATGCATAATTAGGTATACTGGCTATTATATAGCACCAATAAATACATATCGGCACAAATATGAAATATAATTAAATATGTTTGCTTATTTTTGAATGGACAATATAACTGTTCATAAAAAATGCAATCTTTCTGTGTCAGACAAAGTTTTACCATTATTTGCAAAGGTATACATATGCAGGCTACTTTTCCTTCCCTGTTGCTCCTCCTCATAACTCCAGAACATCTACACATTGTGTGTAGGTGAATGTCCATACACATACCTATACAGAACCTATGGGAGTCTAGTCAGACTTTTTGAGACCAAAGTTGTCCACTCCTTTAAACATTTTGTCAGCCAAATTTCCCATTTGTTTTTTCACAAGTTTCAGATGTCTCTCATGTAAAAGCTTTTGTGTGAGGTACTTCTCTCTCTTGATTTTGTCTTTGGTTTCTTCAGATGTGTCCGGGATAAGGTACGATATAATAAACTTGACGAAGTAAACAATATGCTGTCAAACAGAATTAATAGAATTACAATTAACAATAAAGAACACTGGCTGAAAACTATGCGAGGTTAGGGTACTCAGGACCTTAAGTGTACAGAACATCAAAATCTTGACAACAAAAGCAATAACGAAAAATAATAAAAGCAAAGACAGATAAACAAATACTTAGTTTAAAACAGTTTTAATAAAACAAAAATGTGAATGTTCCAAGACATTTCAACCAAGTAGAAATATATTTCTTTATTGTATCTTCTATAAAAGGAATACAAGCTGAAATGTTATTGGTTGAAATGGATTATGGCACATTACTGCTCCTCATACCTGATTAAATAGGTCCTACTGTGCATAAAAACAATAAAGAGCTGAAAGTATTATCAATCAATTACATGTTTAAATTATTTATTATTACAGATTTGTTGCAAGACATAAAGCTCAACTCCAACAAAAGCTTTTTTTATGTTTTGGATGGAGTTGAGAAAAGTTAATAACTTGGTCAGGGTTAAATGCTGTCGCAGGAGATTTCCTCTCTCATCCTGTTTTTCTTTTATTGGGAAAGGAAGTAAGGAGAAATCTATCCATCTGAGAACGAAAAGGGGTTAGAACCTTTGTCAAGATTTTATTGATGTCTGTGCCCTATTTAACACCTTCCCCACCAGCTCACACACACGTGGCACCACTAAAATTGGCTTTAACGTGTGGCCGAATTCCAGGTCATGTAATCACTGTGACTGGCTGTTACAACAATCATATGATCAAGAGGCATCCCCAGCTCCCATTGTTAAACTGACACTAAACGCAGGAGTTAAATCTTTAAAATGTATTCAACTACCTTACTTGTTCACAAAAATGTATCTTATTTGTGTATCACTCGGCTGTAGATCCTCAAATCATCTCTGAATTGGTGCTGACACTGTCCTTCCTTCTGGAGGGTGGCTACTTTTTGTTCCCCATGGTCCCTGTGTGTGGTGTAAACTAGCCACCGCTCCAAGCTCGCTCCTGTGATTGGACTACAATCTCATGTTTAGTTTACTAATTTCTATTGAGATTGTAGTCCATCACGGGAGCGAGCTTGGAGCGGTGGCTAGTTTACACCACACACAGGGACCATGGGGAACAAAAAGTAGCCACCCTCCAGAAGGAAGGACAGTGTCAGCACCAATTCAGAGATGATTTGAGGATCTACAGCCGAGTGATATACAAATAAGATGCATTTTTCTTAATAATTAGTGTATTTGAATGTATTTTTAAGGTATAACTCCTGAGTTTAGTGTCACTTTAAGTAACATTTAAAGGGCTGGCAGCAAGGGGTTGAGGCGATTTCCCAACTCCTCCTGTGTCATGGTATGATAGAGGTCACAGAGAAATGAAGTGAAATACATTTTCCAGATGGGGGACACAGAGTATAATAAAATCCTGATAGAGCTTCAAACTGTACACAAGCCTGTCCAAAACTAAAAATAATAATGTCGGCTGGAGTAGGAGTTTTTGAACACTGTTGATAAGTGTAAACATCTATTTTTCACTAGTCATTATTACCATTTTGTATGCCACTATCTATGCTAAGCTAGGCCATCCAATCAGATTAAGTCACTGTTTGGGCAATAGCCGGCAGTGCACATTCCTCCATCTACACTGTTTAGTGTAAACAAGGAAACCAAATATTTTCTTTCATTCAGATCATGGGGCCGTGTCTGGCTATTTTTTGGTTCTGCCTGTGTTTCATAAATCCCCTTCAATAAGATAATGTAAATTATATCTCGTAAGTTATCAAGTTGAAGCTATCTGAGCATATCATATAATATACACACACAATCAGCATTCAGGAGTCAATATTTACCTCCATTACAATGAGAAAAGAGAGTTTGGCTGCTATAACATGCCAGTATAGCATGCTGTACTCATACTGATGATCATGGCCGGGTGGATATCGGAAATCACGGTATCTGTAAAAAAAAAAAAAAAAAGTCTAAAATTGTAATACCCACTATTCACCAAAAGGTGGAGCATATCCTTTACTCTTGGAGCTGCAAGACTCTGGCTGGAATTTCCCTTTTCATTACAATGTTTTCCATTACAATGTTTCCCATGCAGCTGTCATAACATCCAGTAACATATGTAAGTCATTTGCAAGCCATTATGCACACAACTCAGGAAAAGTCGATTTTGCGTTCCTACAGCAGCCATGTATTGGTAGTATGAATAAATTGTTTTCCTGCAAATTGTGTTAAAAGGTTAACCTATCCAACACTAATTTCTTATAAGTTCGGGAGAATTGAGTGTAACATTGTAACTTAAAGTGCAATTTAAACCTATTAAAACGTGAACCCTTGCTGCTTAAAATTACTTTCCTCTGCTGCCTTGTTCACCTGCTGGAGCGAAGTGCAATCCCTGGTAGCTCTGGTTATGGAAGATCATATGACCCTCTATCCTTCCATCCATGATGCAGTGTGAAGTACCTGTGCCACCAACTGCCAGGCTTGATCACTGTCATGTGATTGGGGCTTTAGAATTAAAGTGACATTAAACCCTTAAACTTCCCTTTGCAGCTGACTGCCTCTTCCTGTAGTGCTGGCTCAGTTTGTGAACCTGCACACAGACACCATGTATCCATTTCAGAGACAAGGCAGTCTCCTGCAAAACAGAAGTTCTCCCCCAGCATGAGAAGAGATACGGATTTAAAAGGAAGAGCAGCAAAGAGAAGGGAAATAACCATGGATTACAGTAAGGCACACATTACAGTATTGTTTTATGTTAAAAAATCTGAGGGTTTAATGTCACTTTAAACTTAACAGTATAGCTTCTATTACTCTTTATTTATTCAACTCCGCAACACTGTTAACATAATTCTGTGATCATATTTAAAGTGACCCTGTCATGATCGAAGTAACGGGGCTGCTATTAATGGGCCTCCTAACAAAAGCTAGTTGGCAATGTCTGGCATCAAATATTTTTAAGTCACAGACCTAGAACAACATACAGGCTGTAAATGAGTAGCCGAATTCCACTCAACCTGAATGGGAGAATTCCTCTCAACTTGTTCCAGGTACTTAAGAATCACTGATGACAATGCATCAGCATGACAGCCAGGCAATCTTCATTTTTAGAAGGAAAGGTCAGCAATGGCAGCCTCCATGATTCTCTTATGACAGGTTTCCACTTAGTATAGGTCCACTTGGTGTTCTCAAACAGCATTCTCTGCAGAACACTTCAAGATCCTGCATAACCACAGAGGAACACATTAGATAATGAGGCTGGGTTCACACCTTCCATTTGTTCAATGAAACGCGCGTTCGACGCCCGTTTTTTAACCTCCCTGGCGGTATGATTTTAATTTTTTTTTAACTTTTTAAACTTCTCGCCGGTTTCGCCCCCCCTGCGACGCGGACGCTTGCAAGGGACGGAACCCGGAAGACGGCAGTGGCCAGAGGACACTGCGGGGATTGCGGACAAGATAAGACCTGCGCTGTATTCCCGAGTGTGGCTCGGGGTTACCGCTTTGTTAACTCCGAGCCACACTCGGGAATACCAATGGATACGCGCTGAAATCCGCCCCAAAGAAGCTCCTGTACTATTTCGGGCGTAGGGTGTTTTTCAGCGCGTCAAAACGCGCTGAAATACGTCCAGGTGGGAACTATGCCCATAGGAGTTAATAGGTTTTCACTGCTTGAGCGTTTTTCAGCACTTTGATCAGCGCTGAAAAACGCCTAGGTGTGAACCTAGCCTGAAGAATGCAACATTTGTAAATACTGTAGGTATATCAGGGAAAGGGAAGAAATAGAAGTTCCTGGGAATAAGAAAGTGAGGTTGTATCACAAAGTGAATAATTCCACAGAGTTCATAATCTATTATTTGGGATCCCGGAAACATAAAGCCTATTCTAGGAAAGAAAACATGAGAAAACACTAAGAAAAAGAATCTATGAACACTAATATGATATAATATAAGGCCTCTTTCACACAGAGGGGAGGCTTTACCACCCCTCTGAAAAGCATATGACAGTACAAATGTCCACTGCCGCAGATCTAGCCCCTGCTCTAGGAGTCAGGAAACCTTTTGCACATGTGAGTCTTGTGAGAAGCTTTGGCTAACACAGAAGGGAAGTGCTAAATTCCATTTGAAGTGATTTTCTTGTAAGGCTTGGTGCTTACTAGACCTGATATATAGAACCACAGAACAGAAAGACAGCATATTTTCTTGTTCAAAATATTGTGGCACCAGACCAATGTAAAATTAATCTCGTCAGAACATAATACAACCTGTCAGAAATAGAGAAAAATACTCAGATTTTACAAAGAATAGAACAGTTATATATAAGTAATGTAGACCAGTTATTACTTGCCTGCATGTAGTTTGGGTGCCAAACCATAACGGAGGAACCGGTCTGCTTTCATTCTTGAAATCTGATATGCTGAACACTGAAAGAGTGTTATTAATGTATCCTTCCATAGTGTTAGATGAATGCATGCCATAGGGTGGTACAGAAAAGGACCAGTAATAGACCAAACGTGGTATCATGTCAGATGTAAAGGCAATGATCATAGCCTGTAATTAAAAAGGAACACAAAAAAAAAAAGTTTGCAGATTAATACATAGCTGAGTCCCAAATAATTATATTTTACACATTATGTACTGAATAGCATTCATATTACCTTAGATTTAGTTTCAGTGTACAACCAGGGTACATTAAGTTCTCTGAAAGCCTTATTATACTGGCAGGTGACTTTAACCCAGGGGTAGCAAACCTCCAGCCCTCCAGGCAGCTGTGGTGGAACTACAAATCCCATGAGGCATTGCAAGATTCTCACAGCCACAGACATGACTCCCGAAGAGAAATGCATCATGGGATTTGTAGTTTCACCACAGCTGGAGGGCCGGAGGTTTGCTACCCCTGCTTTAACCTATGCCTAAACCCGCTTATAGATGCATCCACTGGCCACTTCTCAATTGCCTGTTCTAAACTGAACAGGGTCAAGCACACCCTACACCAAATACAGCTTCTGGATGTGAGGGAAACCATACACACCATGATGAAGGGCCACACATACTATTCCACAGTACACACCACCTATTTCAAGCTGGACATGGTAGATTATAATCACTTTTACTTATCCACAACTCACAATATTACACTCTAAACCTTCCCCTCATCAGCGGTCACATAAAAATTGGCAAAACCGCAAAATATTACAACTGGAGATTGAAATTAAACTTTCCTAACTGACCCCATCATTTTGGACTTTTTAAAACTGGATTTGCGATTATTTTTTCAAAGATAAAGACAATGTCCCAGTATCTACCTCTGTTCTCTGGAAAACACACAAGCACATGTAAGAGGCAAACTAATGGCACAGGGCTCCAAATTAAAACATCAACTTATGGCTCAGAAGGATGCCTTACTCAAATGGATCACAAGGCTAGAGACCCTTCATAAAGGAGAATTTGGTCAAAAGCCACTTTAACAAGCTCACAGACCATTGTCTTTCAAGCAATTATTAGACATTGACACCAATTAAGCACTCCACAGAATAGATCAAAAATATTATGTGGAGTTAATAAACTTGGAGAATTGTTAGCCACAGCTCTACGACATCAACAAACTAGGACTTCTATCCCTTGCATCAAAAACAGTAGATACACAATATTCCTCAGGAGATAAAATAAAAAACATTAGCCCAATATTACCAAACACAATACAATGTTCACCCTGAGGGGTCTTACACTGCATCTCATAACAAGCAAGCTGACATCTCCAAATATTTTTTAGACTGGCATTGCAAAGATTAACTCTGATATGACAGAAGTCATGGAGGCAGACTTATCAGGGGAAGAGTTCCAGGAGGCTATCCGGAACATACCTAATGGGAAGAGCCCAGGCCCAGATGGCTGCCCAGTCAATTATTACAAACTATTTAGACAGATGTCCCCCCCCCCCATTTCTTAACCTTCACTATATACATCGCCTTGGACTACCCTTTCTTCCAGAATCTAAATCAGTACATATGACAGTTATCCAGAAGTAAGCCCTCGTTCACACCTGAACGTTTTGTAGCGCGTTCTACGCTCGACGAACGCTCTACAAAACGCTCAAAAATATAAATCCCATTGTATTCAATGGTCTCATTCCCACCTTGGCGTATTTCCTCCCGTCCCTAACACGCTACAAAACGGCCCACGCCTGAAAAGGTACATGTACTACTTTGGGCCGTTTTGTTGCGCGTTTCCATTGGGATACAGCCAAGTAGCCTTCGGAAACGCGCGTTAGTCGCGCAACTTTTTTTACCGCGAATTGCGGTTAAAAAACGCGCGTATGCAATACGCCTAGGTGTGAACGAGACCTCAGAGAAAGACCCTCTACTGTTCCAAATTCTCTGAATAATCTTATGAAAATGTATGCACAAATGTGGGCTTTGTGTCTCAAACTCTGCTACCCTCTCTGATCCACCCAGACTAAGTTAGTTATGTCCAAGGGAGCCCAAGCCCAAGATATCTTCCAGGAAGCCTGTGTTGCTGGCTGCAGCCCTGTCAACTGTGAGCTAATGAATCTGGCAACACACCCCCAGCTCTGAGATTGGTCTCATCTCAGGAGGCGCTCTATAGAAGCATTACTTACCTGTGCCTCAGTGCTTGTGATATCGTTCGGCTAGCTCACTCAATACCCCGTCTTGTTAATCTGTCTTTTGGATTCCCTGTTGCTACATGCCCTGACCTTGCAACTGTCTTTGGAACTCGATATGCCTGCTGCCTGCCCCGACTCCAGACTGTCTTTGGAACACACTTTGCCTGCCACCTGCCTTGACTTCAGAACGGTCTGTAGAATACGCCTGTATTCTACCTGCCCTGACCTTTTAGACTGTTTCTGGATCACGCTACCATCAACCACTTACTCTGGCCTCCACTAGCCTTGAGACTTTACTATGGACTACTCCTTAGTTGCACTAAAGTCCGCATATGATCCCTGAAGGGCCACAGGTACTCTTTTCTTTTCTCAGTTCTCTGACCCCCCATTGATCTATGTAACATAACCAGACAGGGCTGCTAATTGTCCTGTCTGATCTTTGTCATCTCCCTGGGACCCTTATTGGCCCCATTATGCTGTAACATAGACATAAACTACATACACGTAGGAGAGGTTGATCACAAACTGGTTGACTTTGAAGATGATGTTTATTATTTGTAAAGGATCTGTATCTACATACATTACATGTATAATCTGCTGGGAAATTCTGAAATGATAGGTTGCTAACCCATTATCAAATTTTATGTGACAAAAAAACTTTAGTCCTGCAGGACAATGATTATTTGATAGTGGATTGTGGAAAATTAGCTCCTCACACCAAAAGTAAATGTGAGTGGTCAAAATAATACTTATGTGACCAAACCAAGACATTGATGTCAGCTTGAATTACACAATTCTAAGTATTCTTTGATTTGCCAATAGGTGAAGCTTGAGTGTATTACTTGTTAGTCAACCTAAGCTATGATGTGTGCTATTCTGTGGAAAGAATACTAAAATCCACCCCCATTATGAACTTGTCTGCATCCTATTGATTATCTTTTAAAAAGCAGGTATACATTCACAGTCACACTTTATGTGTATTTGTAATATACTTTTTGTTGCAAATCTTTCCACAAGTATTGTATAAGGCACACGTTGTTCCTTTTACTCCTGACTATTTGCAATAGGTAGCTGAAACTCATTAAATAACTCCACTTACAAAAAATTAAAAAAGTCATAAAAAAGTGAATATAGCATATATAATTGTTGCACACTAATTTAATGTTGTTAAAAATGATCACTTCATTTAAATCTGCAGCTGTCTTCATTTTCTTAAACTGTCAAAAAAAATTCAATGCAATAGGGCAACCTAGAGGTGTTTTGTCAGGTCCCAGTCGGTATACAGAACTCCCCCAGAAATGTAACTTCCTGTTTCTGTGATTGGCTGACTGTTTTTTTCAGAAGTCTGCACTAAGATGCAAGCAGGGCTGGACTGGGACACAAAATAGGCCCGGGCATTTTGGACTGTGCAGCCCAATCACATGACAGTCAGCTTACTTTCTCCTGGATGCTGTGTTCTGTGTTCCTTCGAGCACAGCGTTTGTCCTGCACAGGCCTCCTGGGTCTGTCAGCTGGTGGGGGCGGGGCCATCTCCTCTCAGTGTGTGATCTGCCTGGCAGCTCCGTGCTCTGTGATCAATGGAGCGTTCAGAGTGGCCGTCGGGCACAGCTGGCCGGGCCGAACAGAAACAAGCTGATGATGTTTGCCCTATGGCCAGTCCGGCCCTGGATACAAGTACACTTTTAGGCATTCTTTACAATAGGAATTTCATTTTGGTGAGCTACTCCCCAAGGGTCAATTACTACTAAAGAGATGCCGACACTGCAACTTTCCTCATTACAACAAGGAAAGCCCAGCTGGTTATAATGAACAGAGACCCTCCCATTTAGGAATCAGTTTGGAAAGAACAAGGTGCAACAAACAGCTATTTCTTCAGAACAGAACAAGTTAGGATTCCAAAACAAAGTTTGTTGAAATCCTTGCAATGTACATTGATCACCCAGAGGGGATTGATTTTTGCTCAACAAAAGTGGAGTTGATTTTAAGTTGGTTTACCTGTAAAATACTTTTTGAGTACAGATATAGGAATCTATGCAAGACTTAATGTGTCTGAAATTATAATTGTTATTATAATTGTTATATAAGAGACCATCAGGAAGCATTTTTACAATTCATGACTCCAATACTAGGGATGCAGTGATACTTTTCAGATACCAGTGCTGATACTTGGCATTTTCATGAGCCCTACCAGGGCTGCAGCAGTTGCAGCTGGGACCTGGCTCTGGCGCTCCACCACTGTCCTGAAAATTAGTCTGTTTTGTTTTAAAAAAACTGTGACATGACAATAAACAAAAATGTATCAGTAGTTGTACTTGTAAGTACTTGGGCAAGTATCAGTACTTGTACTTGCAAAACTGGTATCGGTGCATCCCTTTATATATATTTATAAAAACAAAATCAAACATTAAAACAGAGATGTACAAATCCTAGGAGCTCCGTGTGCTCCTGAAAAATGACAGCTGACTCCTAACTGATTTTTTCTCTAGTCTAGTCTTGGAGCTCGAAAAGTATCTGTACTTGTACCGAGTACGGTACTTGGTATCGGTGCATCCCTATCCAATACTATCTTCGCTTAACCAATAATGTGCCAGAAATGCAATATAAATATGGTCCCATTTGCAATATGCAAGCATTAACCAATTTTAAGAATTCACTGTGTCACGGCTAAAATTCTCACAGCTTTGCTATTCATCAGTATTTTATATTGCGATATGTTATAAGCAGCAAGTATTAAAATGAAGCAAAGAGGAAGTTACTCTCCAGTTCTGAATAATGGCACGGTGCAGAATAACTTATAGCTGAACTCTCGCTAGATATATTAGACAAAGGTTATTGCAGCTCAGATCATAATTACACCAATAAATGCATTATTTAAATGGAAGCAGTGTAAGCATGGCATCAGCTTCTTGCAGTCCCTGTAGAGCAGGGCTAGAGTGTGAGAAGAATAAGCAGTACAAGGAGCCAATAAATTCATGTGCTGACAAAAGCATACTGATAAGAGAAAGAGTGACAGAGAGATGAGTTAATCACTGTGCTGCTATTTCTTTCACTGTCCTGTCCAAGGCTGGAGAAGGTCCAGGATGACATGGGGTTAGAGGAAGTGGGCATAAGACCGAGGACATCTATTGGCAGAAAAAAAGTACTGCATGGAAAATCTCTGAACTGAAGATGAATATTGCAGCAAAAGCTGGATGGATTTGTTTATCTTTTAATGGGCTATTCATTTTAGCTAATTTTTGGCTGGAATTTTGCATTTAAATTCCAAATTGAGAAGAGTTCTTGCAGCACAACAATTATAACAAATTAAGGTCTTCACTGGTTCATGCAAAGCTTTACTCTAAAAATGTTCTCAAGAAAAAAACCCACCGCATTCTATTATAAAAACAATGCATGCTGTCTGTCCAAGAGTATATAGATCCAAGTGACCATTTCGGAGTATGCACTGATGAGAAGCCTGTAAGGGGTTTTGTTGGTTGGCAACTAGCCAGGTTAAGGCCATCTAGGCAAGGAAGATAGCATGCAACTTCTAATTAAAAAAATAATAGTGATTAAATAGGCCCTTACCTGCTGCAGGTTTATATATATATATAGTTAGTACCAGTGTTACAAGACTAAACTGTTTAACCCTTTCGTTACGGCGGTACACAACAGCTTGCAGCGGTTTTTACCCATCTGCTATAAAGGTCAGGCTCGCTTAGCGACCATGAACTTATACCAGAAGGATTCTCCAGATGCTCTCCTGTAAAATGACAGCTATTAATGAAAATTCCTGCCCCCCCCCCAACACACCGGGGACACATAGTACTGTGCTTTACATCACTTCCTGTTCATTCATGAGTTTCTCAATGGTGAGAAGCACTCACTACAGAGGCTTCTACCCATTCATAAGCTGGTTGATAGGTAAATATTTTACGATTACCAGTTTTTTAATGAATGGGAAGCCTCTGTACTGAGAGCTTTCCATTCATTTAGAACAGAGGCTGCAGAAAAAGAGATTGAGGACTCTGTGTCCTCAATTTCTTTTTCTATTTCAAAAAGGAAATGTCAGAGGTCTGTTTCGACCCCCGATATTTCCCCAAAGCCCCCACAACAGTAAATAAGTAAATAAGAATAAAAACAATAACCCCCCCACACACAGTTAACATACACGTGCAACAGTGTGCACCACATTGTGGTCTACGCCATGCACATGTGCTGCAGTGAATTGTTAAAATGCATCGCAGTGCTTGATTTTTTTTCTTTTTAAAATAACAAATTTAACTGTGGCAGCGCATGGTAAAGCGTTGACGCATTGCCATCCGTTGTGATGCACTGTGTTGTGATTAAATGTACGCCTGTATCAGTTTATCACAACACACCAACGCAGCACACAAACGATTTTTTATTTACAGTTTTGCGTTACTACTTTTTTTTACTGTTTCGCAAAAAAAGCGCAATTAAAATTTTACAAATATTTGTTATTTATTAACGCAATACAGTTTTATCTTTTAGATTTAGTCTGAAAAGTATTTTTTTTGTGCACCGATACTGATTTTAGTGTGCTTTTATCAATTTGTGTATTTTTATCAGTTTAATATTGATTTGATAAACATTTACGCAATTATCGCAGGACCTACAAAATTAATACCACCCTCTTTTTATTCTACCGGGCCTGTGCTTTCAGGAAATATATGGTTTGGGGGGTCTGGCCAGCTGAAGGTTAAAGCGTTCTGGAGGGCTTGGCAGCGAAAGGGTTAAAGGCTGTATAGGAATAACAAATTGGAAACACTGGTTGCAGAATCACTGCAAAGCTCCATTTCTAAATGAAAAAGGAAGCCATTTTATACTTATCGTACATTGGTCACCACAGCAAGTATGGCTACTCCTTGCATGATTGGCTGCCAGGCTCCAATGTGTTGTGCTTTTCCTGTTACCATACGCCTGAACTGGGTGGTGAGCTTCCAGGCATCAACCCGAATTTCTAATAAATTATTCACAAGTGCCAAAAGAGGTGCAAGTGGAAACGATGCCACAAACAGGGTGACAAATCCAAACTGAATCACTGTTATGAGAGAAGGCATAAAGACAAGTATAAAAACAACAATAATCGTAAGGCATAAACAGTAATGGTAAGGCATAATCTAAAGGACCTATCACAATATTCTACATGAGAAACAGCCATCAATATGTAGATTTGTACTTATTCTATGATGAGGTGAGGGGTTAAGCAACAGCGGAGGCTGGGGCAGAATCATAGGTGGAGGGGGAGAAAGTGAGCAAACAGGGAAGATGAGGGGGATCAAAGGATCAGGAAAGGAGGGGGGGAGACAAAGGGAGGATAAAAGAAAGCGAGAGGGACAGAGAAAGACAGAGAGAAAAAGAAAAAAGGTAAAAGAGAGGGGAGCTAAGGCAATTAAAAGATGTGTGTATACAAACACATACGACTATGTATAAATATAATAATTTAGAGGCTGCTTTATCATTAACATATTTTCATAAAGAACCTGTATGAACAAAAGTTACAAATACTACACAATTTACCCATCTCAAGATATTCATAGAACAATCCCAATTTTCCAAGAGGTTGTAAATGGTAGTCTTGTTCCCATCTTGGCTTAATTGTTTCTATTCCCGAAGAGCGAAATCGTGCAATGAGATTTTTTATCCAGCTAGTAAGTAAACAAAAAACAAAAGACATTTTTAATATTATGCTATAAAAATTATAAATAATTTATAAAGAATAAATAACTTATAAGAGGATGATAATAGTATTGTG